GAGTAAAGTGACTTGCCGGTAACGAGATTGAACGAGGTATTGGGATACCGACGATCGGATCTCGGGCAAGTAACATACCGATTGACAAAGGTAATTGTATACGGGGTTGCTTGAATCCTCGACATCGTGGTTCATCCGATGAGATCATCGAGGAGCATGTGGGAGCCAACATGGGTATCCAGATCCCGCTGTTGGTTATTGACCAGAGAGCCGTCACGGTCATGTCTACGTGTCTCCCGAACCTGTAGGGTCTACACACTTAAGGTTCAGTGACGCTAGGGTTGTAGAGATATGAGTATGCAGCAAACCGAAAGTTGTTCGGAGTCCCGGATGAGATCTCGGACGTCACGAGGAGTTCCGGAATGGTCCGGAGGTAAAGAATTATATATGGGAAGTCGAGTTTCGGCCATCGGAAAAGTTTCGGGGGTCACCGGTATTGTACCGGGACCACCAGAAGGGTCCCGGGGGTCCACCGGGTGGGGCAACTCATCCCGGAGGGCCCCATGGGCTGAAGTGGGAGGGGAACCAGCCCCTGGTGGGCTGGTGCGCCCCCCTGGGCCCCCCTCCGCGCCTAGGGTTGGGAACCCTAGGGGAGGGGGCGCCTCCACTCGCCTTGGGGGGCAAGTTTCCCCCCTTGGCCGCCGCCCCCCCTAGGAGATCCCATCTCCTAGGGACGGCGCCCCCCCTGGAGTCCCTATATAAAGAGGGGGGTGGGAGGGCAGCCACACCCTAACATCTGGCGCCTCCCTTCCCTCCTTGCTACACCTCTTCCTCCCGCAGACGCTTGGCGAATCCCTGCTGGATCCCTGTTGCATCCACCACCACGCCATCATGCTGCTGGATCTTCATCAACCTCTCCTTCCCCTTGCTGGATCAAGAAGGAGGAGACGCCACGCTGACCGTACGTGTGTTGAACGCGGAGGTGCCGTCCGTTCGGCGCTAGGATCTCCGATGATTTGGATCACGACGAGTACGACTCCCTCAACCCCGTTCTCTTGAACGCTTCCGCTCGCGATCTACAAGGGTATGTAGATGCACTCCTCTCTCTCGTTGCTAGATGAACTCATAGATTGATCTTGGTGAACGTAAGAATTTTTTTATTTTATGCAACGTTCCCCAACATTGCTATCACTTAGTTGTTTATCTTGCTTAGCATAAGTTATTGGTGCACATAGGTGAGCCTAGTTGTTGTAGGTTTTGTGCTTGACAAATTAACCGCTAGGTTTATTCCGCATTTGTTCAAGCCTAAACTATAATTATTTTAAAGTGCC